CCCCTGTTAAACTTTGCATGGATCAGCATTACATGCGCCCGCTGTCACCGTTAATGTAGTCAAAGAATCCGCTAGGATGCACCTGCTTCAGCCCGCTCCGAAGCCGTGACATGGAGCATGGATTGACATTCCACGCGTCATGCAACATGGGCTCATTGACTCATATAAAATTATATACACAAGGATTGCCTTATACAATAAATATCAAAAAACCGGCGTAAATTTACTAACCATTACCTAACCTACAACAGGAGTATACAAGAACACCAGATACGAACAATCGCGCATCAGTTTTGGTATTTTCAATTGTTGAAAGTAAAGTATAAACAAAGGGTGAACTCAAGCGACTATTAGTCTTTTTAACTGCAAATTATGAATGAGTATACATGCGTTCTTGTCGCGTACAATTGTTTCGCCTTGCCTAGGGATTAATCACAACCATAACAATAATGTTACTGTAAGACTCACCACGAGGAAATGACAGATAATCTTTTTTATTTATGAAATGTTTCCACAAAGTTAACTTAGATATGGATAAACACGCTAAAATACGTTGATATAGATAACGTACTCTAGGGCAATCTTTAATTTTCTGATATTTATAAACTTATTTGCAAATGCGTGTACAAATAAAAATGTTAAAGGTTAAACATACAATGGCTAAGTATCCAGTTATATCAAATTCTGTCATGTATCGATGACATACAGAGTGTTTAAAATAGCAAATCATTTCACTGAAAAAAAGTACCATTTTTTTTTAAACGCTAGTAGGCATTTGCTTTTGTTATCGTAAAATACTTTTTTAACATAAAATTAACATCATAATGCTAATGTCGAGTATTTTGTTCAGTTTTATGGTTTACAAAGAGCAAAATTGATAACTGAAACTAAAAGACTAAACCGATCAAATTGAGACTACATCGCAGTTAATACGTTAAGTAAAAATGTTCTACAATCGATGCATAATTGAACTTTATTGTTTAATCTGTGCATTTCGTTAGAAAACATGCAATGTTTCGTGACTTTAGAAACGCCGAAGTTTAACGATGTTTCTTTATATTGTTACACTTGGAATTTTTCGAGAATCAAAACGTAAAAGTCTTTACAAAAATTTATTACTTAATTTTAAGTGCGGTTTGTTATTCATTTTTGAATCATTAATTTCAATCTCGCGTTGATAATTTTCACATTAAAAATAGGCGAAAGCGCATGTGTCCGCAGTGAAGTTTTGCGGTAATTAGGGTGAATCTCTTTTTGGATTATTTATTTATTATTTTCGAGGAGTCAGTAAGAATTAGGCGAGACAGGTAAGAAAGATTCGATGGAGAACTTGAAAGGTAAAAAAATTCAAGCTACAATGACTTGTCAAATGTCAAAAGTGTGTCGATATTAAAAAATACCACATTATAAAATATTTAACAATAGTTGTTTTATAGTTAGGCCAAATTATTATTGGACCGTTTGCATGCGTATATATGTATGGTAATTATGTTATCGAAACTCAAAAACATCGAAAAAGCACAAAGACGTTTTACGTAAAATCACTGAATATGAGTGAGTCTCACATAAAGAGGCATCTGAACTTTTAGTAATAAAATTATTTTTGATCCAAAAGTACTTATCTTCATTGCTTCTGCAGAATTAAAAAAAGAACAAAACTAGAACCGAAAATATCAAATATATCTAATTTTAAAATTTAGTAAATTTCGTCTAATTATGAATAATTAGAGGAAGTGTCCATGTTTAAAGTAAAACTGAACATTTATTACTGACAATGCGAGTTCAGTCAGTTATTGTGCTGACCATTGTGCGTGGAATGGAGTTCAGTACATTGTAATTTGATTGACATTGCCTGTCAAATACGTGAACGTAACCAATGTACAAAAGCTTCTCGTTTTGTTTAAAATATGTAAATGTACTAAACTTTTATTATTATTAGATACATGGTACCTTACGATCACTTTTGTTGTTCACATTATATGTTCGGCTGAACTATCTACAATAAGAGCGAATTAACCGGCAAAGTAAACAGCTTATTTGTTAGGAATAAATAACATCGTATTATTGAGATTTTAATATAAGGAGAAAGTGAACACTTGACATTTTTTTACTCATAGTAGAAGAGAGGGTTAAAACTGACATATATAGGGTGGCCCAAAAGGTACCTACGCAATATGCTTATTGTGGTCAAACTACCTATAAGTTTAATCGAAAATTTTTTCATACAAAACTTGTTCCAAATTTTAATATAAGAACGTCTTGGCATCTAAATTTGACAGCTCTGTGAAATATAGGTCCAAGAGAATCATTTGACCATACGTGAAGTACAGGCAATAATGTTTGTTTGGTATTGGCAAAGGGCATATCAATGTAGTCTCTATTTTGTAGGTAACCCCATTTGTAAAGGTCTAATGGTGTATATTCTGTTGGCCTAGGGAGCCACATGAAAATAGGAGTTCACTTTCTTACCAAAATTGAATTCAGTCAATCATCTAATGTCGTGTGCTTCATACTGGTGGAAATACAATTAACGTTGCAAATGTGGGGGTACACTATCTATTCCTTTTTCGATAATGTTAGCAAAAATGCTATAGTACCCAGCTGCAATAATTTTTTCAGTCAAAAAGTAAGATCCACTTCTCCGTAGCCTCCAAATGCCTAACCACACGCTCGCTTTGCTATATAGGATTGACCTTTGAGTCAATAATAAATGTTCCGTCGTGTACTTCCGAGAATTCTGGGAACATACCGTATCGTTAATGGTTATAAATGATAACTTCATCAGTATACAAGCAATCGAGCGATATATCCTAGAGGTTTAGACCACTGCTTAGCATTCGGGAGGACGCCGGTTCGATTCCGGGTACGTCTGCCTTGGTCCAAATTTTTTCTGTGGTTTCCTTGGATCACTTAGGCAAATACTGGGGCAATAATATTCCACAGATAATATTTCACTCACTTCTGTCCTCATTTCGTCCGTCCCATCTTTCTCACCTGAACCATCATCCACCCATTCCCACGATTCCTGAAAGAAGGCTGAAGAGGGTCTTCCGCCCTACCTTCCGGCGTAATCTGGAGGGATTGCCTGCCCACCAACATTAGTAGCTGGTGGGAATGAAATTTCCAAAAGTTAAGTTAAGTTATACAAGTTGTTTCATCCAGAAGGTAAACTATTATGGAGCTCACCCTGTACCCAGAGGCAAAAGTTCGGCCTAGGTCAAACGTACTTAGTCATAGAATTAAAGGGTTTCAACTGAGAACCCTCTGAATAAGGTGGTTTGCCTTAGGTTCTTAGTTATCGTTGTATATGTACAGAAAATTAAATGTAGATGCCACAGATCTTACTTTAAAATAGGAATTGTTTTGCTTAAAAAATTATTCGATTAAACCTATAGCCATATGAATCAAAAAAGATTTGAATATCGCTACGAAAACTCAGTATAGTAAATCAAACATAGATGTTACATACGATCTTGAATTTAAAATAAGGCACAAGGCCTACAGTTTGGTTGCAGTGAGCATATTAGATACTTCTTGGGCCACTCTGTACATGTTTGTAGTTTGCCACATAATTAATACTTGTGATAATTTGTATTAAAAATATAATTTTTGATTTATAACAAGAAAAATAATATTAAATTGACTTCATTAAAAAAAAAAAGAAAGATGAAACAGGAAAAAATTTTTCAATTATTTTTTTTTCATATTCAGAAAACGAAATTCAATTATCAACTTAGGTAGGGACTTATCATCAGACAGTAAAATATAACTTTTAATTTTAAAAAAACTGTGTATTTTAAATCATCTAACTAACTAAGCAGTCGACTGCGATCAACCTGTCGATCGTGGGTATTGTGTTAGCTTAGTAAAGTTCATGACTCTGTGTAAAAAAAATTAATAGTTAATTACCAACAAGCATCCTTAATTTTGTCCTGTCTTTCCCATTTAGTAAATTAAAAAGCGTTGGCGGTGTTTATTTTTTGTTTCATTTATCTAGTTCAAGTTTTATCTAAGGATGACAATAAAATGTGTCCACAATTTTTGATATATTCATATTCATATTTTAATTTTGTTGTAAACTAAGAAAGGAAAGAAGAGATGCTCCTTAATTATTTTCCTTAATTTAAATAGATTTATCATTCATTTTATTATTATTTGATAAATTTTATATATTATTATTAAGTTTCTTGACATCCTACGGAGAAATATGTTTATTTGCTTTATACTTTTTGTTTCATCCATTTCAAAAGTTACTGACCTAATAAGTTTTTGTTCAATGAATTGCAATTTCTGGTCGTCTGCAAAAGGTCGTGATCTAATAATAACGACTAATTTATGGGGTCACTAATAATGCCACTTATCAGAATGAATTTTACGAAACGAAAACCACACAGCGAGAAAAATATTCGCTTGAAATTTTAGACCGTTATACCTTGAAATTACTTCAAACGAAAATTTTAATTTTTTAATAAAACAATCAATCAATCAATATTGTTTAGTTTCATCGGCATGAATCGAAAATACATTGTAAAAGTCTTTAGAAGATATCAGTAAGTTTTGTGATGTATAATTAAAAATTAATTTAATAGCAGTTGAAATTAATGCAACTCAAATTGAAATATAAAGAATGCCAAAATAGACCATAAAAACAAATCCAGAACACAAACCAATGTTTTCTAAACTTTTTGACTCAACTTTTTCAATAAACTTATTTTGGATTTTCGTAAAAATCGTCAATATTTGGTTAGGTAAGGTTAGCACAACACGTAAGTACAGTTATAGTGAAACTAAAAACTTAATGGAATTGGTGTAGAACGAACAGGAATGAAGATAAATAAAAATGAAAAACATCTTTTTTAAGCCCCTTAGTCTTTCGTAAAAAAGACACTGACCGAATTTCTTTATCGACGATAACAGTCTATAATAAATGACCTTCAACACACAACAATAACAACGAATACGTAGCCTGAAATCATTAGTGCATCTTCAAGAATACTGAAAAGGTTAGTACATAAATGCATTAGTAAGTTAGTATTTTAGTAAACAATCGTCAAACCGTTTAAAACACACATAAATTCACAACCAAAGGGGGCCACTACACATATATAGTGACAGATTGCAGCCTTTTTATTAAGTGTCCTTATTTATTTTAGATTAATCTACAACGCAACGTGCGGAGATCATCTTTCAAGGACCTTTTGTATTTGGGCTGTTACCGATAGGAAAATGAAACAAATTGGAAGAAGAGTAGTCGTTACGAAAGACGATTGAAGTCGATGACTCCTGTTGACTTCAACACATTTACCTGGAAACAGAAACAAAAATGTCAACATTGACGTAAAACTCTACCTTCGATATCACTATACGTAAACCAATATGACTAGAGGTAGGAGGAGCAATAACTTAACCCGAAGCAGAAGGGTTTAAAAAGCATTATCAGAAAATTCAACGGTCCAATGCGCAGTGAACGATTGCGCATCTACGCGGAGAGCGGGAGTCCGCTAGAGTCTCGGCGGCGTGTGCTGTGCTCAGCTGTTGTTTTCTTACCTCTACCCTCCACGTGGCCGGCCGTCATTGTCTTTATTTGCAGTCTGTGTAAAAACCGAATCATAATTTGCAGTAAACCTGTGAAAACGAAGTGTGTTCCAGCACACAATTCGTTTTGAATGTGTTACAATACTTATAATTGCAGAATGAAGGAGTAAAAGGCATTTTCAAGGTGGGTTACTCTACAATATCATATTAAATTAAAAAAAAAAAACAAAAATAAACAGTATCAGACTTCCGGCAGCATATCATCTCCATCTAGTGAAATACTACTAGTAGTTTAATACATATCATCTTCTTTTTACAAAAATTATGCAGAACACCTACTGCGTACTGCTGATAGCTAATAAGTTCGAAATCGCGAATCAAGAACTTAAGTTGTTCTTAAAAAAATATAAGACACAATAGTGATACATATAAGTTAACTACTTTGTACCTGTTGTAGAAAATAGGTTTTAAAAATAGCTAAATATTTCTATAACTTGTGTGATGATTAGGAGGGGGTTCATTGCCATAAAAATTCCGATAAATTGACAATGTAATACAAGCGATGTCCGTATTAAGCCTTCTTTTTAGTATTGACGTTCGAATTGGGACTTCTATATTTCGACATTATATCCACTACGTCATTGTAAGCGATATCGCTATAAACGGTTTCGAATGCAAATGTGAAAATTTTCAGTAATAAAGCAGTATATTGCAAATATTTTGTATTATGCAAATGCTTGGCTGATAATAATCAATGCATGTTCGTTAACATACACTTAAAATATTTAAAAAAATAATAATAACACATGAATATGCACATTTGAAAAGGATTTCAAGGACAGCAATAGTGCGAAAAATATATAGTGTAATTAGTATGAAATCCTGTACGTGGAGTGTAAAAATTACGTATATACATGTAATACATACAACAAACTAATTGCATAATATTTAAAAGTTGGAGGCCATTTGGATAACCTTTCCGTTATTATTTTTTACAGTGAATTGCCGATTTATAATAATACGTATTCTCTCAAAAACGATACGCTGGATTTGTATTTAACTTCCTGTTGATTATTTACTAGGTATAGTAATAAAAGTAAGGTCTTCATCATCACAGCAAGTAAAAATAATCATTATCAGTGAGTGAACATAACAATATTTACAATGTTTATTATTCTACTGTACTTAAATTTCAAATAGCAAACGTTTTTTTAGGTTTACGTCGACTTTTTAATAAGTTTTGAAAAACATTCTCAAATGTTTTTAATCCTTAATTAAATATATTTTTTGAACATTGCGATGATTCTAGTTTTAAAAAAGCGACTGGGATCAAAATATACATCATTTACGTACGATACAGTTTTATGATAATTTTTACTTTGCGGTTAAGAAATTTACGAGGTGTGTTCAAAAAGTACCCGGAATTGTCGTTTTTTCAAAAAAATATTTATTTATTCGTCTATATCAATGTGGTCCCCTTCAAAGTAGTCCCCCCCCCAGATATAATACACTTATGCCAACGTTTTTTCCAATCTTCGAAGCACTCTTGATATT